ATGTGTTCCCATCGTTTAGCTTTCACTTTACAAGTGAGAACATGTAGTATTCGGTTTTCTGTTCCTGTGTTATTTTGCTAAGGATAAAGGCCTCCAGCTCCATCCATGTTCCTGCAAAGGACATGATCTTGTTCTTTTTTATGGCTGCATAGTATTCCATGGTGTATTTGTACCACACTTACTTTATCCAATCTGCCATTGATGGGCATTTAGATTGATTCCATGTCTTTGCTATTGTAAATGGTGCTTCAATGACCATATGTGTACATATGTCTTTATGGTAGAAAAACTTATATTCCTTTGGGTCTATACCCAGCAATCAGATTGCTGGATCATACCTCAGTTTTTAAAAGTGTATGTTACTAATCATAGCACTAAATTATAAATGCATGGTTTACCAAGCATCTTACTTAATTTGTCCCTTAAACTATCTCTATACCAAGGCTCAAAAGCTACATAACTTACACAAAGTCATACAGCTAGTAAATGGCAGAGGCGGCACTCTAACCTGGCTTTCCTACATGCAACTACATATAATAAACAATAGACAGTAATGAAAAGACCTCATGACTTCCTCTAGTTTCTGTGCAGGCCAATGTTTGGTTTTCTAGCTATAGATGTTAACCATTTGTGGGTCATGAAATCAATTTAGTAGACTCATCACCCTTCTTTTTGTTTTTTGGTTTTTTTTTAAGGAATGGAGAGGAGTGAAGAAAATGAGAAAGGAATGGAAATAAAAAGATGAGTTCATTTTGCTTAGAAATGTTAAATATTGGTTTTTAAACTTCTGTTTCAACTGAGAAGCAGAGTTTAGGAGTTTATACATGCCAGGCTACAAAACGAAATGTATTTCTTACTGTAGTACCTAGTCAAAAAGATTTGAAAACCATTGCTGCAGGCCAAACAAGGGATTACAACAGTAAAACAGGCTGCAGTCAGAAGAACAAAGAGATGAGGATCATAGAAGTACTATACTGTAGACAAATGGCTGTGAAGGACAGGGGAGAAAAGAGCAAGTCAAAAACAACTCCTAGACTCCAAAAACACTCAGTGGACACACTGATGGATAATTCAGCATTGTCACATCCACATTCAACGTGTCCCAACTTACCTTTTCAAACCTGTCTCCCCTCACTCTCCCTCCTCCCAACTTTTTTCCTCTATGAGGAAAACCTTCTTCAAAACCCAGGTATAAACAATGGAAGTTATAAGCTAAACAATTATTTATTCACCTTTATTTATTACCCTAGCACCTAAGCTGCACTTTATACAACGAGAATGCTCATATTTATAGAACAAACACTGCTAATAGTCTATTTACTCTGCCTAGGGAACCCAGCACTATAGTAATCCATTATTCCTTTAACAAGACAGTGCAATTCAATTCTGATAGTAACTCAAGAAATAACCTTATAACATGAAGTACTTTTGCAGACACTTAACAAAACAACTAAAGAGATAGGTTTTTAACATTAATGCTTCCCGCGATGTTTCCATTTAATGTTTCTAAAATACTGTTATTCAAATGCATGACTACAGCACAATGCTATTTTTATATGCCTCTCTCAAGTTCTGCCCAAAAAAGGGGTTATTCACATTAAGAATTTCTACGTTGAAAGCATACATGCAATGTATATGTTGTAAGGGGGCAAACTTCAATCAGAAAACATATTGCCAGCACATATCAAAGTATCATTGGCAAATGCTGCCCTGAGCTCTAACACACCAGAAATAGTTTAAAGAGCCCTCAAAATATCCAGCTACCCTTTCCCTTCTCACAACTCTGCATTGATCTGTAACACATATACCCTGGAAGGCTCAGCTGCAAATGTGTCACACCACTTCTCCGTCCATATATCAGGAAATATTTTTTAAAGGAGTAAAAAGGGACAGAACTGAATACAGCAGGTCAACTTACTTAAATTTAAGAAACTCACCAAAACTCTATGAGAAAGGAAGAAATGGTTTAATTAGTCCCAACTTACAAATAAGTGAAAAATCAAATAATTGATTTGCCAAGGTAACAGAGCTAAGAAGTAGTAAAATTCTGTCTTTCAATAAGAATCTTCTGATTCCAAATCCAACAATGCTCTTTCTACACTGCATCAGTCAACAATGAATAAGAAAGAATTTACTCGTTGGTGTCTCCTGTTGAAGATAGCTATGCTTATTCTCAAATCTGTAAAGCAACAGATACAGATGCCTAAACTAGGCTACCTGCCTGATCCTTCCCTGGACTAACTCTGGGCCTACTCAAGAGAGAAGCTAAAGCACAAGATCAAAAGAGAACAGTGAGAGTGAAGAGACAGTAGTTCTGTCAGCAAGTCCATGTGAAGAGGGTCAATGAGGAATCCAGGAGAGACAGACATGTGTACACTTAAGAAGAAAGGAGGGGCAAGGCAACATTCAGCAATCCAGGCAAGCGGTCAGAAAGACTGACAGAAGGTCCTCATTACAGCTCCCATACCTTGTGCAAAAAAAGCAAGACTGTCTCTGGGAAGCCTGAGTAGCGCTAAGTCAGGCTGAGATCCAATACCAGGCAGGTTATGAGAGCAGTGACTCTCTCACTTGTTCAACAAAAAATTTATTAAAATACTCACTATGTACCAGAAAGCATGCTAGGTACTAGAAGTATTCATTACATAGCGTCCCTGCCTTCAAAAGGTTTAAACTATTGAGAAAGACAGATAATAAATGATGTATTGTTGAAGATATGCACTAGGCATTATGGTAACAACTCAAAAGTTTTTACCATACCAAGGCCAACTGCAAGGATAAGGGGAGAGGTGAGGAATGGTGGAAGGTCAGAGACAGAACTAAGAAAGTCCTCAATGAGGAATCCAATTATTAATATAAGATAGAGCAATGTGGCTTCTGGAATGGCATTCCAAAGCCACCCCATGACTCTAGTTTCTAAAACTAAAGGTAAAGATTGTGGGTTGGCAGTGCACAGCACAACGACAGTCATATAATGAAAGTAAGGGCAGTGCTAAAAGAGAAAAAAATGCAATGTCCATGAAATATGAATAAACCTCAAAAATGTCATCATACAGAATATTACCCAGCAATAAAAGTGAATAAGGCTGGTGCAGTGGCTCAACACCTACAATCCCAAAACTTTTGGAGGCCAAGGCAGGAGGATTGCTTGAGCCCAGGAGTTCAAACCCAACCTGGGCAACACAAGGAGACCTTGTCTCTCCAAAAAATTAAAAACTTAAAAATTAGCTAGGTGAGGTGGTGCATGTCTGTAATCCCGCTACTCAGGAGGCTGAAGTGGGAAGATGGCTTGAGTCCAGGAGGTCAAGACTGCAGTAAGTCGTGGTCATATCATTGCACTTCAGCATGGACAACAGAGCGAGACCTGTCAAGAAAGAAAAAGAAAGAAAGAAAGAAAGAAAGAAAGAAAGAAAGAAAGAAAGAAAGAAAGAAAGAGAAAGCAAGCAAGCAAATGAAGTACTGATACATGCAACAGTAAGAATCAACCTTGAACACCTTATGGTAAGTGAAATAAGTCAGTCACGAAAGACTACATATGATATGAGTCAATTTATATGAAATGTCCAGAACAGACAAATCTATAGTCAGAAAGTAGACTGGTGGTTGCCTAGAACTGAGGGAGTTGAGGGAAAACAGAGAGGGACTATTTATGAACATGACGTTTCTTTTAAGGGTGACAAAAATGTTCTAAAAATGACTGTAGTAATGGTTGTACAATTCTTCTGAATATACTGAACACCACTAAATTACACACTTTTAATGGGTGAATTGTATGCTCCATGAATTATAGATCAAAGCTGTTACAAATATACCATTGAATATCATAAAAATACAAACATAAAAATTGCAGATGGTTTATCAGCCTTAAGAAGCCATTTTGCAAGCTGGGTTAACTTAGCATAGTAAGTATAAGACTTGAAGCAATGTGGAACAAAATTCAAGCTATGACTGTACCACTTGCCAGCTGGGCACACTTGGGCAAACTACTTAATCTGTCTGAGCCTCAATACTGTCAACTGCAAAATAAAGACATCTACCTTGCAAGGTGAGAAATCTGTACTGTTACCAATTTCTATGTGTTAGTATATGAAAATGTCATCCAGAAAATTATATGTAAATATGCTTTTCTTAGGTACTATTCAAAGGAATAAAACATATCAACATTCTAATACAATTTTTTAAATCATTCATGTCAAGATCTACGTTTCATTCATCTTTGTATTCTGCCTTACCAGGTGCATAAGACAGTACTTTGGATATTAGAGGTGCTATTTTCTAAGTGCTTACTATGGTCTAGGCATTCTTCATGCTTCATATATGGTGAAGTTGAATGCAAAGCCTGGTCAACGGGGGGCCATGTTTTTTCCTCTATAACACACTTACATATTTTTGGTGTCATTGTTTATTTGTGTTTTGTTGTTGTTCTTCTGGTTATTCTTTTACTATTAACCACAAGTTACATTTAAAAATATATTTCTCAGAAAAACTTACTTGACTATGCAAGAATCTATAATGGTGCTTTAAAGTGTTACTATGAGAAGCCCTATTATTTTCAACATAAAAAACATAGTAAAGCATGCCCAGTTCTCTCATTTTTAAGCAAAATTTTAAAAATATACACGCATAATATTTTAGTCTGGCTTACTTTAATTAGCAACTACGTATTTCTGAAAAGCTGACAAGTCTTTAGCTATTTTTACCTGTTTTTTGAAGTGTGCAACTCATTCCTAAAGAATGAGAGTTGATTTGAATGATTCAAAGTTGACTAACAATTTGTAATTAAATAAATTTTTTAAATTAACATATCCACCATTCACTTTACAACTTAAAACCAACAATTTAGTGTATTTTACCATTTCTACCTCTTATTTCAGCACTATAAGAACAGTATGTTTCCAATATTTGTGACTTTTAGCAATTTCAAAGATGTTAGCACAGCACACCATCAATGTTATATGGTTAGTTACGATTCATAACAAAGGAAAAGTTGAGGATAATCTTACCATATCATCCGTCAGTGTCCTAATATTTAAATGCTGCAAATTAAAAAAAAGGAAATCATATCAGTAATTTATAACAGCTTTTTTATTTTAGTTAATAGGGTACATTCAAAATTCTTACAATCCTAACTTGGATGTAATTAAATTTTTGATAGTCCAATAAAAACACATTATATATAATAGTTTTAATCTCTTTCTCAAAAAGATGGACAAAAGTTACCCTGCATGCGGTAGTTCCAAACACTTACTAAAATTTTTTTACTTTGTAAACCTCACAAACTAAAAAATTAATTATGGTACAATAAACACATTACCCCAATTAACAGTATTAATTACCATTAAGTATATGAACTTAGAACACAATGGATCTGTCTGAGAATGAGGGCACATAGAAAAAATAAAACAAAAAAGAACACTGGATATAAAAGATTTTAATGTGATGATTTTTCAGAAAATTTTTCATATTATAAAACAGTGACACTTTAAATTTACCATTAGTATGCAGCATAATAGATGATGAAGTACTTTGCTGGCTTAATTAACTTAAACAATTCTAGTAACGGAGAAGAATGTACTAAAATGACTATTTGCATCTTTAACATCAGTTTGATTTATCACCAGTGGTGACAGTAGACATTTTCAATTGCATTGCTAGCTTCAAGAACCCTTTTGCTGATTTCCTTGCTAGACAAATATAAGACCATTCTAGAGAGTGAATAGTTTCCTGCAAAATACAACTCAAAAGAAAAACAATTATTTAGAGAAAAAACACAGAAATCTAAGTTGTATAAGTCCCAGTGTTGGGCAAGATATTGTATTCAAGTAACTAGAATCAATTACCAATTCTCCCTTCTCTAATTCACTGGAGCATTCAATTTTTAAAGGGGCAGGGAAAGAGTAAAACACATTTTCTAAATAGGAAACAAGGTCTACTCTTTTATAAGGACAGGTGTTAACAACCATTATCTAACAGACTAAGTGGTACACAGTTAAATTCAACATTTACTTAATAGAATGAAATTTATCTTTCATGTTGGTATACTCAAGTACACCTTCATGCTCATGAATCTACCTCAGTGATGATCCAGATTAAAAATCCGTACAATGTAAATCACCATCCCAGATTCTCTTCTCCCTTTCTTTCACCAAGATGTTCCTTCTTCTAGTACAAAGGAAAGAAGGTAACTGGGATCTAAAATGAATGTTGTGTATACCAAAGAAAATGTAGCCAAATGAAAGACCATTAGCCACACCACTAGGCTCCAGATTGAACGGCCTTGTTGAATTAGAATCACCTACACTGACTTGGGAATAAGGAAGTAATAATAGTGGATTAACTAAGGATTAGTGTCTAATACCAGGCTATAGAATTTGCTTTTTTAATCAATACTATCTTCAGCCTTTGAAATTAACAAGTAGGCACAGTGGTCCTTAAAAGTGGTTGGGATCCTGAGCGGGACCGTAAAGTATGTAAGGAACTTAGGGCCAGAGTATCACCCCAGAGACAATTACTAAAATTAAACCCAAATGTAGAGGGCTCTTGAGTTTGCAGAGAAAGGAGCTGGGGCAATGCCTGTGTGGGGCGCCCTTCCTCTAACAGTTGTATGTGTGCCTTCCCGCCAGTAAAGGCTTCCAGCCTATTGCATTTGGTTAACCACATTTCACTCTTGTTATTCTACAATCAGAGGTATCACTCCAATCACATCTCGTTTCACTCTCAAAAGGGTTCAAGTTCCTGTGACAAAGAAACAAAAAGTGACATGTAGTGAACTTCTGGCACAATGGCATGCCAAGTGGGCTAATGCTTAAAAAGTAAAGCCAAAGAAATACAGTATAAAGCTGAAATCCTATTTAGGATGGTATGCCGCAATAAAGAGAAAACATCTATTTAAACAAATAAAATATTCCCAAAAACCAGCTTGAGTTGCTTCAGGAAAATGCCACAAAAGTGATATTTTAAAAAGTAAAAGACAATAAAAATAGATAAGTAATTTTAAGATAAAGACGACTAGGGTCCAGGCAAGATTTATGATCTAAAAACTACATAAAAGATACAGAAAGTAAAAGGAAAATAACACTAGGTAGGAAAATAGGAAATGCAAGTTACATGATGCAAAATCCAGTTGTAAACATCCAAGAGAAACACTTTTATATACTGTCAAAGGTCTAAAATTAGACCATCTTTTTACAATTTCAGCTGGGCTCACAATGTTCAGGAAAAAGAACAGACACTGTTATGTAAAAACAAGGCAACACAAGAATCCATTTTTGGTCATGGTTTTGTTTTTTTTAATATATACATTCTGAAACTATCTCATTGAGGGTATAGCTTTTTAAAAGATTTAATTTCCTAAAGGCTTGGTCTGTTTTCAAACTATATAGGTATGTACATAAGCCCAGTTATAACCTATATTATTATATTTCCCAAAGAACATGTGATGAATCACAACAGAATTAAGATGCAGGTGTATCTTGCAGGGAGAAGTTAAGAAAACTCAAAGGGATGTAGATGTGGAGAGTATAACCGAGTCTGAGAGAAAAGAAGGTCAAATTCATTATTCCTTCTCTTCCAGAGAACACTTACCTATCAATTCTCATTGTCAGCAAGAGAAGTCAATAGGGCAGGAAATCACAGCAAATTCAAGGGTCCAGACAGGACTGGAGAAACTGACTGTGTTAACAGAGTAAGGAGCTGGAAAACTGATCTGAGAATTGTGTTTGTCTACATCAAAACAATGAAGTCAGAATAGGTTTCATTTCAAGATTTAGTTTGCTGAAGAATAGAGATTACATAGTTAAGTACACACATGCAATCTTAAACCACTAAAGATAGGTTAGCATTAAAAAATCTAAATAAATCTAAGCACTAATAATTTCCCTTAAAAACTGGAATGTCTCATCATAGTTTACTTTAAATGTTAAATGTGAATTAAAGAAAAAATAAACACTCAATACTTAGTGAAAAAATGTAAACACTATATCAAGTGGTACTCTTTTGTAGGATGTTGGAATATTAATACTAAATGTAAGTTTATCATTAGAAAGTTTACATGATCTCAAGGCCCTGCCTGTTTGTATTACACACATAAAATAGGGACTCTCCATGAAGTAGAAATTGCCAAGAAGAGGGAGAAAGGAAGAGAATGACTGACTAAATCCTCAGATAACTCTGAGGCTTTTAAGCCTTACTTTTGTAAACACAAAACTTAATATTAAGGGTAATATCCTTAATTAAAACAAGAAAAAACTTTGTAACACAAAAAATATTGATTTTATGGTGTAACTTGAGGTATTGTTTAAAATGAAGTATTTCTGTTTTATAGCCACCAGCAATGCTCTTTATTATCTTCTAGTTCAGGAAAATAGGAACTGCAAACATCAATCCAGTTCATCAGTAGCCATTGTGGACATCTACTCCAAAAAGGAAATAGAAACATAAAATTGACTATTAAATGGAAGCAACTAGGAACACCTTTAAAACTGATAATAACCTGATAGCAAATTTTTAGGGTTATATTTACCAAAAAAAAAAAAGTTAGAAGCATACAGTTTTAGACATTATTAAGACTTTCATATCTAAATGTAACTTTGTGACCTCTATGTATATTACCTACCCGGCCTATGACTCTATAGGTGTTATTAATGTTTTATGGCACTGAAATCAAATAAAACTCATGATATTAAATTATAAACAGTTCTATCCAGAGGACTACTGGTTATTGGTTAAGGTGTGATATTAAAGAACATGAGGACTCTTTTCCTAAGCTAAAAACTCATCTTTCTTCCTATGGTCCTATGTTTCTCAACTTACTATTTCTATTTTCTCCCTAAAAAGTAAGGAGAACCACATACAGATGGGTAACAATGTTTTCTGTTAATGACAGTTCCTAGGATGAATGGTCAAGAGGGTCACTCTGGAATTGAAAGAGGAAAAAAAGCCTTTATAGATTTTTCTTCAAAAGAACATAGGAGTCGGGGGGAAAAAAAGTAGAAACACAGAACATCGGTCTCTATATTCCCATTTAAGCAATGCATCAAAACTTTTATTGAAGATAGTGCATGCTGTCAAAAAATGGATTTAGAGCTTTCAGAGAACTGTGCTAAATGCTGTGAATATCAAGAGGCATATGAAATAGTTTCCCCACTAACTTAGTTTACAAGTAACAAAGACAGATAAATTGTAGTACACAAAGCAATAGACAAACCCAGGAGGTCCACACAGTGAAAAAGATTCCAAGCTGTAGCCCAAGACGTTTCGCAAATTTTATGTTTTCTTTCATTGGTTAGCACATCCGAACTACAGACCAATGGAGCAAAGGATCTGTCCAATGATATCATTAGGAACATGACAGCCACCATCAGATTCAAGCCAGTAGGCTTGCATCAATTTATTATTATAAGAACCAAATATGTGGTAGTATTTTTAAATAATCTTTGGCTGACACAGTTTAATTCCATTAAAATTGACTTTTTTTTTTTTTTTTTTAGACACAGTCTCACTCGGTCGCCCAGGCTGGAGTGCAGTGGTGCACTTGATCTCAGGTTCAAGTGATGCTCCTGCCTCAGCCTCTCGAGTAGCTGGTACCACAGGCGTGTGCTACCATGTCCGGCTAATTTTTGTATTTTTAGTGGAAACAGGGTTTCACCATATTGGCCAGGCTAGTCTCGAAATCCTGACCTCAGGCGATCCTCCAACCTCGGCCTCCCAAAGTGCTGGGATTACAGGAGTGAGCCACCACACTTGGCCAAAAATTTACATCATTTAAGTGGGTTATGAGGGATTACCAACAAGAGGAAAACTTGTAAGATTACAGACTGAGACACAATTTTCATAAGCTAGATCCTCTGGACCAGCTGGTTTTTCCAGGTTTTTGTTCATTTGGCATGCACAAGAAGCACACCAAGACTTTCTTTGAAAAGCTAGATTACAGGGCCTCAGTCTACCAATATTCTTATTCAGTAAGTCTAAGGTGGGACCTGGGAACCCACATGTTTAAGGAGTCATGCCTGTAATGAAGTGGCAGCATGCCCAGGAC